CTAGTGGCGATGAAATAGATAGTAATCGCCATAGGGGGAGGAAGCAGTGCAAGCTGTGCCTCAGTGCAAGCAGCGCGGTAACTAGCGTCGAGCGAGCGGAGGTGAGCGATCAAGTCAGCAGAGCGCTCAAACGAGGCGAGATCAGGAAACAGGAACGGGAGGAAAAGACGGCCAAGAGAGACAGTAGCGGGAGTAGAGTAGCGGGCCTTAATCGCAGTGAGGTACGCAGCAGCGGTGCGAACCTGAGTGAAGTGGACCTCCTCTGACTCAGGGAGGAGGCTGCTGAGTGCGATGCAGGCCGCAGCGTCACGCGACGTCCAAGCCGTCCTGTCAGCGCGCTGACGGGCAAAGCGAGCCGTAGCAGCATCGTCAGGGGCAGGACCTAAAGCGGCAGGCTCGGGGGGCTCGGGGAGGTCACCAGTAGCGTGCGACCAGAGGGTCTCGCCCCCCTGGACTTGACTCTCTAACAGACGGCGAGCGCGAAGAAGCCAGACGGAGAAGTCAAGAGGTCTACCGTCAGCGTCGAAACGAAGAACTCGCGGAGTCGCCATAGCGAGAACGAACGCGAACGAGCAGGCGAGTAACAGCAGGAGGTAAGAGGCAAATTAGGGTTCAGGTGGGGGGACTTAGTCGCAGCGGAAGAACGGGCTAGGGCGACGGGCCAGGGCGTAGGGTCGACGGGACGGGGGAAAGGGCGGGCGCGATGCGACGGGGCAGGGCGACGCGACGGGGCAGGGCGACGCGACGGAGCAGAGGCGACGGGACGGGGAAGGGCGACGCGACGGGGCAGGGCGACGCGACGGGGCAGGGCGACGGGACGGGGAAGGGCGACGGGACGGGGCAGGGCGACGGGACGGGGCAGGGCGACGCGACGGGGCAGGGCGACGGGACGGGGAAGGGCGACGGGACGGGGCAGGGCGACGGGACGGGGCAGGGCGACGCGACGGGGCAGGGCTGTCAGAATGTTATATTTGTCTAGCCTGCAGTGGGGTGCTCTGTAGCGAGTACAACCCTTCTAGGGTTTGCTATTTGTATCCCCATTCTTGCTAGTTCAACCCTCTCTCTTTTTGCCTAATTTTCTCGACATGCTATCAGAGCAGGTCGACCCTCCTGGGTCGATCCTGTGGGTGGGCCCACCACCTAATGCTTCCGCTGCTGTACTTCCTGCCGGGCGCCTCGGGCGCGCGACGACTTCTTCCTGCCGCGCGCGGAGCGCGCGGCGAATTTTTTCTAGGGTTTCGGCGGTTTTCATCCCGCCGTGCGCTCGGGGCGCGCGGCGGTTTTCTGCACGCCGTGCGCCCCGAGGCGCGCGGCGGTTTCCCACCGTCGAAGCGCCCTCCCCTCGTCGCCGTCGACCCCCCGCGTCGCCCCGCAGCCCCGCGCGTCGCCCCCGACGTCTCGTCGCGACACCTTGGGGAGCCGCGCGCGGCCCCCCGCTACCTCGTCGCGACGCCGTGGGGAGCTGCGCGCGGCCCCCGCTGCCTCGTCGCGACGCCTTAGGGAGCCGCGCGCGGCCCCCCGCTGCCCCGTCGAGGCGCCCTGGGGAGCCGCGCGCGGCCCCCGCTGCCCAGAGGTGGCGCCCTGGGGGTCGCGCGCCTTCCCCCTCGCCGTCCCCCGCGCTCCTTCTCCCTTTCGCCCGTTTTAGGGTTTGGGGGTGGGGAGTGTGGGGGTGGCGGCTGTGGGGGTGTCGGTTGTGCGTTACTCTACCTACTCCTCCTCCTCCCTAGTCTCCCTCTACTGCAGCTGCCGCTGAGGGGGGTGGTGTGTGGGAGTCTAGGGTTTGGGGTTTAAGGGGGGGTACCGTGGGAGTGGAGCTAGGGGTGAAGCAAGGGGTGTGTGTCGAGGGGTGTGGGACTGTTGGGGGAGGTTGAGCGGAGACTGCCGTCGTGTCGTCCGCAGCACCTGTATTCCGGGGTTCCGCGGACCTCCGGTAGCTCAGAGAGCCGGCTGCACCTGTCGCCCGTGGGTCCGCTGCACCCTCCGCAGCGACTATTACCCCTGTAGTCCGGGGCTCTGCTTCCGGTAGCCACTAGCGTTGCGCCAGAGCCGTCTGATGCCCGTGTGTCTGCAGCTTCAGTCGTCGCCTCCACTCCTTTCTCCTCTCGCCAGCCCTCCTCCTCCTCATTTGTCCTCTGTGACCGCCTCTAGCTTTGCTCATAACTTATAAACTGTTGCTTCTTGAACTTGTGCTCAGAATGTGTGGTGACATCGTGATCCACCCTGAGCTTGTACTGCTTTGCTTGCTCTGCTGATTACACCCCACTTTGGCTATGGGGGTGTGTCAGAATGTTATATTTGTCTAGCCTGCAGTGGGGTGCTCTGTAGCGAGTACAACCCTTCTAGGGTTTGCTATTTGTATCCCCATTCTTGCTAGTTCAACCCTCTCTCTTTTTGCCTAATTTTCTCGACAAGGGCGACGGGACGGGGAAGGGCGACGCGACGGGGCAGGGCGACGCGACGGAGCAGAGGCGACGGGACGGGGAAGGGCGACGGGACGGGGGGAAAGGGCGCGACGCGACGGGGGGAAAGGGCGCGACGCGACGGGGGGAAAGAGCGCGACGCGACGGGGGGAAAAGGGCGCGACTCGACTGGGGGGAAAGGGCGCGACGCTAGGAGTGGCGCTAGGCGCGGCACTACGTGCGCCAGTCCTGGAAAAACAGCATAAGCGACATAGCTGTCCTTGTCAGAATCCCAGCCACTAACCACTGAGATAAAAGGGCTTGTTTGTGTAGCGGGTGAGTGCGCCCATAACCCCCCAGGCCGCCATGCCTGTAACCCTTCCCTAGGATCAATCGGGGATCACCAGTGGACCTCTGACACCCCCCCGCACTGGGATGCCCGAGGTGCACACACCGGGAATCGAACCCGAGACCTTCGCTCTGATACCATGTTAGAATAGTAGCCTAAGTAGACTAGGGTTTTGGGGTAAGAGAGTAGCGAGAGAAACGGAAGAAGAGAGGGGTTTACACTAATGAGCAAGATACATGATATAGTTCAAGGGAAGGTGAGCACAGTGGTGCACCACCAAATAGTTAAGAACAATAACTGCAGTAACTACAGCACGCAGGATATATATTAAACATAACTTTGACAGTCCTGTACTTTCAGTATAAATGTTATTTTGCGTGCTGGAAATTCAGTATAGGGCTGTAGGTTCAGCCCTGATGAGTCAGTATAGTGTTGAGAGTCGTCCTGAAGCGAGTAGTGCGCCAATTTCGCCCGGGGCCTAGTGTACCCAACTGTAATTGTCGCCTTGACTTTGCTTCCTCTGCTGGCGCAGAACCATGCCGCGCCCACCGTGGCAACCTGCATTGCTGTAATAACGACCAATGAGAGTGTGCCGCGCTCACTTTACACGAAGGGAACGCACGGCCATCTTTGCTGTACGCTGGCATCACGTGCTTCCCTCCTAGCCTGTAAACACTGTTCTCATCTCACCCACCCACACCCGCATGCAGACACAACCAGCAGAAGTTCACAAACCAGCCTTTAACAAAGTGCATAGGATGAAATGAAATGTACTAGCACTGACGGGGCAGGATAATGTCACTTGCAGCATTGACCCTACAGCATACCCACCCTTGGTCAGTCCTGACATTTCAGGACAAATTAGGAATCCTGAAAAACTGCCCTGAGTCCACAGGGTACCCTCAAACGAATCTGAGGCCCTGATTCCCACCACCCACCCCAGCGCCTTGCTAATGCCACTTGGATAGGGTATATCCTAGCTAGCGTTATTAGTCCGCACTAGCTTGTGTCGAATGATGATACAAATGTTGTAATACGCCATTTGTAATGAGAACGATGCCAATTGATAAGACAGAAAGCAAGCTTTCTCAATATTCTTATTTAATCAAACATTCTCCTAAGTCTGGTCTGAGGTGGTATATGAAGGCCTCATGGCCTTGCTGCATTCTGCAACTAATCACGTCACGATGGAATGTAGTGGCCCACACCAATCTATCAGTTTGGTGGCTGCTGCAAAGAAACACTATAATGAGTTTTTGCTCCAGTTGTCTTAGCTTGGCCGCACAAGTGCACACAGAAAGACTGTAGCAAGAACTCATTATTAGTGCCTACCGCACATCCACTTTGTTTTTGCAACAGGCGTGGCTTGTTGTGAAATGTCCTTCATTCATTGATTGCAGTTACCGTTATTCACAGCAGTTGGTCACACTTGTGCAATCGTGCTGGTGCGCTTGCACGCAGCGAACCAAAGGCTACTTTTTGGAGGTGCCAAATCCTCCGAAGCCCATGAGAGCAGCCATTTCCGGGTCTACATCATCATCTGTGGCCTGCACCTGCTGCTCCTTCTGCACCCCATGGCATGTGGCACATGGGACATGGGACATGGGAGGACATGAGAGGAACACAATGTGAGAGAGGACATGATAGGAGATGGGAGGAGATGGGAGATGGGAGGAGATGGGAGGAGATGGGAGGAGATGGGAGGAGATGGGAGCAGATGGGAGGAGATGGGAGGAGATGGGAGGAGATGGGAGGAGATGGGAGGAGATGGGAGGAGATGGGAGGAGATGGGAGGAGATGGGAGGAGATGGGAGGAGATGGGAGGAGACGGGAGGAGATGGGAGGAGATGGGAGGAGATGGGAGGATGCGAGGAGATGAACATACACAAGGATATGGAACATGGCGCATGGGGCATGGAGCTGTAGCATTGATGCATGGGGTATTGAAAAGCAGGCAGCATGCAGCATGGGGGATGGAGGATGGGGCATAGCGCATGGGATATGGAGCATGGGAGAAATGGAAGAAAAGAGCAACAAATACACATCAACTGTACTGTTCCCTTCCTGCAACCAACATCTCTCCTAACATCACACAAGCGCCGACACACAATCCTTCACTGCCCCCCATCAGTCTCTTCCCTCCTTCCCCATTCGCTCCACCACAGCCCACCACACCGTGTTTGCTCCTCAGGCCCCCATGATTCACCCACAACCACCACGACCCCACCCACCATCGCCCTCTCCCTCCTCACCTTCTTCTCCTTCTTTTTCTCTTTCCTCGCCTTTTTCCTCTCCCTCTCTTCCTCCTGCTGCTTCAACAGCCGTAGCTCAAAGTCTGCTCAGCACAGCAGATGACAGGGAAGAGAGGGAGAAGAGAGGCGGACGGGAGAGGGAATAGGGTAGGACAGAGATGGGAAGAAAGAGGGAAGACGGTGGGAAGAGGGTGGGAAGAGAAGGAAGGGAGAGAAAAGAAAGGGGGAAGTGTCTGAAGGGCCTCGAAAGCATCTAAACAGGAGTTTCGGCAAGGTTCGATAGAAGCTGTGAGAGAAGAGAATGGGCTACACTGCAGGCAGATGGAATGGAATGGACGGTGGAATGGAATGAAGAGGGCCAATCACACCTTCTTCCCTTGTCCTCCTTGCATTAAGGTAAAGAAGCCAACCCGCACCCCGTAACCCACCACAACCCCCAATCCCCCTCTTCCCACCCGCCACTTTCCCCAACCCCTGGCACTTTCACGGTCCATGCACCTTGTTCTGTGAACTGCTTTTGCTCCTCTTTCCGCTTCTTGAGAGCAGCGAACCGGCCTTGTACTTGCTCCAAAGACGATCGCTCCACTCGCATGGACATGCCTAGTGCCCGCTGGTCTGCAGAGGAGGCAGGGGGAGAGAGAGGACATGGGATGGGAGGCAGAGGGAGGATACGTGTGAAAGGTGAGATGAGAGTGGGGTTTAGGGTAGATCCCTGCTTCAAATCTCCCTGCTTCAAAGATGAGCGCTCCACTCGCATGGACATGCCCAGTGCCAGCTGGTCTGCTCTGCAGGAGAGGAGAGAACGCATGAATGAGGCGCATCAGGAGAGAGCAGCAAACCAGCCCTGAACCTCCCCTCCAGGGAGATGGGAGTATGCAACATACACGCGCATGGAGATGGGAGATGGGGAAGGAATGAGGGGAAGATGAGGTGGATGGTGGGGAGATGAGGGAAAGGTGGTGGGGAAACGGGGATCATTTTGCTCGCGTAAATAAGCCCAGAGGGCGTGAGAGGGAGGAGCAAGCGAGAGAAGGAGTGAACGAGGGAGGTGGACATGGTAGAAAGCAACAGAGTAGAGTAAGGGCAGAGTAATCATTATTGGGTAGAGTAAGGGCTGGGATGGGAGATGGAAACATGTGCAATGAAGGAAATACGTGCCCAGCAGCAACAGAGTGGCAGTGAGAGGGGAAGGTGAGGAAAGAGGACGGGCAAGGGAGGGGGAGGAGGGGGGGGGATGGGGAAGAGAGAGGAGGGAGAAGGGGGAAAGAGGAGGACGGGGAGTGGGGAGGACAAGAGAGAATGGGGGAGGGGAGTAGATCAAGGGAGGGGAAAGGGGGATTCATTGGTGGTGGTGTGAACGGGCACGAGACACAAAGTGAAATCACTTACGCTTCTTGCCATTGATGTGGTCTAGATAATTGGCTGAGTCCTTTACTACACACTGACACACGTCACAGAAGTAACCTGCCTGGCGGGTGGCAAGGGGGAAAAAGAAACCTTGTATTTCCCTTAGCAAGGGGGGCTGATTTGGGGACAAGAACGACTGCCATGACTCCTTCACTTCACCACACACAGACAAACGTCACAGTAGTAACCTGCTTGGCGGGTGCCACGGAGGGAGGTAGGGAGCATTAGGGAGGGTGCCAAGACAATTCGAACTGCGACAATCAAGCTGCTGGTGCCTAAACAGTGGTCATTTCTGAGCTAAGGGTCATTTCTAAACTGAAGCACCTCGGATGCCTATCTCTTCCCACACACCTATCTCTTCCCACCTTCAATCCCCCAACCACCCCTTTCCCCACACACACCCACACCATGTCTCCTGGCTTCGTGTTCTCTCCTGCAGTACTTGCCATTCCACCCGCAATAGCTCACCGGCCCCCCTCTCCCCCCACACTGCTCGCTCCCTGCGTCTCCCCCCACATCTGCCTGCCCCACCGCCCACCGCGCACCGCCCACCGCGCACCGCCCACCGCGCACCGCCCACCGCGCACCGCCCACCGCGCACCGCCCACCGCGCACCGCCCACCGCCCACCGCCCACCGCCCACCGCCCACCGCCCACCGCCCACCGCCCACCCCTGCCTGGGCTCACCTGCTGGTTTAGAGAAGCAGTCGGTAGCACGACCTGCACACATGGACAGGGAACATGGGATAGCAGATAACAGGGGAGAGAACAAGGGACGGGGGAGGGGGACAAGGGAAAGGGGAGGGCGAAAGGGGGAGGGAGAGGAGGCGGGTGGGCGGACAGACACGGACGCAGAAGGAGCAGGTTGGTTGGTGTGGGGGTGTGACGGGAGAGGGGAGCAGCGGACCTTTGCCTGTTCCTCAACTCAAATGATCACAACAATTGCAGAGACAAATGCATGCAATCCCCTTCATTTCCTTGTCCACAACTCCGCCCCCCTCATTCTGCCTCCCTCGTTCGGCCACCTTCCTCATCCTATTCCCCCTCCTCATCTCCCCCCCTCCCCCCCACCCCCCCCTTCCGCGCCTCTCCTTCCGCGCCCACATTCCACTCCCCTCATTCCGCCGCCCTAATCCCACCCCTCTCATCCCCCCTCCCCTGGATCCGGCCCCCATCAATACGCCCAGCCCCATTCTCCCCCACCTCAACCCACCTGTGTGCGGCCGGGGTTGGAAGACAGGACCACCTCAGGTCCCGTGCTGCAACGGCGCAAGCCTATACCCGGAAAGCCTTCATCAATCTCAACAGCAACCCCTCTCATCCCGCCCCTCACCCCACCCCCCTCATCTCTCCATCTCCCCCACCTTCACCCTACCTGCGTGCGCGCGTGCAGCGGCCGAGGTTCGAGGAGAGGTACTCCACCTCAAAGTCCCGCTGCTTCAGCGGCGCCCGCAGCAGAAGAGCCGGTTGCCTTTGTTGACACTCAAGAGTGGAGCCGGTTGCCTCAACTGGCTGCCTTTGATGACACTCAAGAGAGCACTCATCCCACACCACACCCCTCATCTCATGTCACCCACCTGAGTGCGGCCGAGGTTAGAGGAGAGGTCCACCTCAAAGTCCCTCTGTTTCAATGGCGCCCGTGGCAGTGCTGGTGGGGCTGGCCGGCCTGGGCGCAGGCGCACATGGGTGCGTGGGTGGGTGCGTGGGTGCATGGGTGCGTGGGTGGGTGCGTGGGTAGAGAGGGAGGATTGATGAGTGAGGTAGGGCGGTTGAATGCAATACTGGGTTTAGGGTTGGAGAAACGCGTCGGGAGAGAGGGACATGGGTAATGGAAGGGTGGGGGGAGGGAAAGATGGCAAGTGAGAGTGACTGCAAGTGAAGTTTGGATGCGAGAAGGAGCAATAGAAGGAGAGGAAGTTTGAGGAGAGATGGGGGGCAGACATGCGTAAAAGAGAAGGGAAGGGAAGGGAAGGGAAGGGAAGGGAAGGGAAGGGAAGGGAAGGGAAGGGAGGGGAGAAGAGGGGAAGGGAGGGGAGAAGAGGGGAAGGGAGGGGAGAAGAGGGGAAGGGAGGGGAGAAGAGGGGTAGGGAGGGGAGGGGAAGGGAGGGGTAGGAGATGGGAAGAGTACGTACGTCTATGACCTCCCTCCTCATCCTCTTCTTCCTGCTCCGCACACACCACAAAGCAGAGAGGGGAACAGAACACAAAAGGGAAGCACACAAACACAATGCACAGACAGAGCAGCAGCACACCACCACAGCACACTCAAGCGCACAAGCACCATTACTGCATCCCCCCCTCCTGGCCCCCTCACCCCCGCCACCCCTCATCCCCCCCCCTCCCCCCCCATCGCCACCCCACTCCCGCCCGTTCACATGCAAACCACGCGGACACACATTTGTTCTCGTGAGTGTGAGTGCGAAGGCAATTGGGAATGACGGGCATGCAAGCAAGGGTGCAAGGATTGGAACGGACAAATTGCGGAAAGAAACTGCAGCAAGCAAGCAACGCGGGCGAGAGTAACAACAGACAGTAAGCGTATGGCGTCATCACCCTCCGCTCATCACCCTCCGCTCATCACCCTCCGCTCATCACCCTCCGCTCGATCAACACTCTCTCTCCTCCCGCCCTCCCCCGCTCACCCCATCCCTCCCTTTTCCTCCCCCCCTTCTGCCCTTCATCTTCTCCCCACCCTTTCCCTCCCCCGCTCCTACCTTCCCCCATCTCTCTTCCCAATAATCCTCCTGCGCCTCTCCCTCCCGCCTCCCCCTCTCCCCCTTTCCCCCTCACCTCCTCTCCCCCTCTCCCCCTCTCCCCCTTCCTCCCTCTCCCCCGTTCCCCCTATCCGCGCACCTCCTCGCGCTCCCGCGCGCGTTGAATATACTCCTCCTTGTCCCACTTGCGCCTGTGTGTGTCGACCCCCAGGCTCTCCCCCTCATTCACTCTCCCCCTCTTTTCCCCCTATCCGCGCACCGCACCTCTTCGCGCTCCCGCGCGCGTTGGATGTACTCCTCCTTGTCCCACTTGCGCCGGTTCGTGTCGTCCACCGGCGCTGACGTAGACGGCTGCTGCGCGCGCGCACCCCAGATGCGCGCAACGCGGAGAAAGGAGGGGGAAGGAGAAGGGGGAAGGAGAAGGGAGAAGGAGAAGGGGGAAGGAGAAGGGGGAAGGAGAAGAGCGCGCGGTGCAGGAGGGGAGGAAGCGCGGCAACGGCAGGTGGATGAGGGAGGAGGGGAAGGGGAAGAAGAGGAGGAGGGGAAACAAGTGGAGGGGGGAGAGGGGGCGGTGGTAGATAAGATGGGGAGTGGAGAAGGGAGAAGGGAAGAAGAGGGACGATAAACAACTAAGACAATTATGAGCGAGCAGCGCGACGCGACAGTGCGCGCCGACAGCCAGGGCCGTCAACCAAATCCGCGTGACTACTATCCGTGTCACTAATCGCGTCAATGTCCGTGTCACTAATCGCGTCAATATCCGAGACACTAATCGCGTCAATACTGTCCGCGTCACTATCCGAGTCACTCTTGTCCGTGTCAAATTACACTGTCTATCGACGTCGCGCGCTACCGAGAATTGGCTGATCCGTGCGCGCTGCGAACTACTGTGTGATCATGTAACTACATGGAACCACTGGGACCGAGTAAGCGCCATGGAAACGAGGAGACAGTCGGGTCCGTGAAAATTCGGTAAGAGCAGCAAGGCCATCTGACGCGAGACGAATCTCCGCGTCGCTACATTCGCACAAACCGCTTAGTCTGCAATCCAAGGTGTTGCACGTTGAGAATTCACTGCAGCACCATGCAAGGCAGGGCTTTGCGGACAAGAGAAGCCGTACCTTGGACATGGCGGTTGACGGCGACGCACAAAGAGAAATCCACTCAGGCGAACGAAACGGTGCAGAGGAGAGTTTAGCTCGCGCAGTCAAATCGCCTAAATCACGTTGGCGCGGTGAATAGGCTTCTGCTGCTGAATTTCGAACCTAGGTGTTGAGGTAAGGAAAGTCGGTTCTTGGCTAGCGAGTCTTTTTCCCCAGGGTCCAGACAGCTTTGCACCAGATTTTAGGGTTTCGTGAAGCCTTTCCTTGCGAATTCAGGTAACGCGAGCTCCTATTTCGTCACGTCCCCCGACATCCCCCTCCCTCGCGGAAATGCGAGAGTAGCGAAATGGTAACATCATACAAGATACCACTGCTACGACAGAACGATCAGTATAATATGATGTGTTTCAACTGGTAAATGTTTAAAATTCTGCAGATGTATACACCCCAATCAGATGTTTGCGGGTGTTTGGTGACTTCCAGCTAAACCAATGAAACCCTTCTATTCTCTGCTATAGAAGGTTCTCTTTACCACAAATCGCGAGGCACTTGCCCACAACTAAAGTGGTCCTCCTGGAATAACAATCACTCCCCGAAATCTGTCCCGGATATACCCTTCAGCTTCAAAATCGTCCGTTCCAACCTTCCTGAGGCACGGCAGGCCTTTAAGCCAGTTAATACCATTTGGAGTGATCTCCTCCGCATCCCACAACCCCAGCATCTCTATCCGCTGCATATGCCTCAAATACTTCACACCCGAATCAGTCACACCCGGAGGCATATAGAAAGTAATCAGTGAGGTGAGGGAGGTAAGATACGACAGCCCATCATCCCCCACTCCCGTCTCATGCAGCGACAGCTCCTCTAATCCAGTAAGCTTCTCCAAATGGAACATACCCTCAGACGTAATTGCCTCGCATCCTCCCAGGTAAAGCTTCAAGAGAGACGTCATCCCTTCCAGCCTTGCAAGCCCCACATTCGTTACCTTGCTGTAGTTGAGAAAAAGAGAGCGCAGGCTCGTCACGCGGTCGATACCTTTCAGAGCAGCGTCCGTGCATGAACCCGTGAGTTCCAGATGCTCTAACAATGGCAGGGAGTAAAGCTGCCGCACACCCTCGGCAGAGAATCCAGAGGAATTTCTGAGGTTGACGGAGGTGAGCTGGCGCAACGAGGTGAGGCGGGAGAGGGCCGTATTTGAGAGGCCGGAGACGACTATGAATTCCATCTCCGCCTGCTGCGGCGCTGCCTTGGCCCAGAGCGTCAGCAGCGCCTGCAGGGACAGCATGGGCGGGCGGTCATTGTAGTGGAGAGGGGGTTGAGAAGGAGAAAGCGAGAGGCAGAGGGATGTAAGGGATGAGAAGCATTCAATAGCGGCAACACAAGCTAGGTCTTTAAGTAGAGCCAGCCAGGCAGTATGAAGCTGTATGTATTGTCAAACTATATGTGCTGCATATTGTTTAGGCTGTAGTGGGGTAGCCCATATGGGGTACAACCCAATTAGGGTTTACTACTTGTACTCCTGCATCCTGTTAGTTCATCCATTCCTGCTGCTAGATTCTGACATGGTATCAGAGCACTAAGGTCCGTAGGACCGTTTTTTTTCGGGCCCACCTACCGCTGCGGTTAACGCGCCACCCCACGTACCTGCCTGCCTTGCCTTGCCTTGTGACGTGCTGCACTATGCGCGCCGTCCAGCAGCCCTAGCGCTGCCTCCTGCTGCCTTAGGCCAGCGCGCTGCCCCTAGAGGCCCGTAAGGCCCACGCGCCGCCCCTAGAGGCCCGTAAGGCCCGCGCGCCGCCCCTAGAGGCCCGTAAGGCCCGCGCGCCCCCTCTACACGCCCGTCAGGCCCGCGCAGCCCGCTGCAGCCGCGCGCAGCCCGCACAGAGCCCACGCAGCCCGCGCCGAGCCGCGCGCAGCCCGCACCGAGCCGCGCGCAGCCCGCTGCAGCCGCGCGCAGCCCGCGCCGAGCCCACGCAGCCCGCGTCGAGCCGCGCGCGGCCTGCTACGGCCTCGCGAGGCCCGCGCGCGGCCCGCAGCAGCCCGCGCCGAGCCGCGCGCGGCCTGCTACTGCCTCGCGCGGCCCGCGCGCGGCCCGCAACAGCCCGCGCCGAGCCGCGCGCGGCCCGCTACTGCCTAGCGCGGCCGCGCGCGGCCTGCAGCAGCTCAGCGCGCTGTCAGCGCAGCCCGCGCCGAGCCGCGCGCGGCCCTCTGCCTCGGCCCCGACCTGCCGCTGATGCGGCCCCGCCCTGCAGCTGCCACGGCCCCGACCTGCCGCTGATGCGGCCCCGCCCTGCAGCTACCACGGCCCCGACCTGCCGCTGATGCGGCCCCGCCCTGCAGCTTCCACGGCCCCGACCTACCGCTGACGCGGCCCCACCCTGCTACTGCCACTGAAGCGGCCCCGCCCTGCAGCTGCTTCGGCCCTACTCTGCAGCCGGTGTTGCGGCCCCGACGCCGCCGCTGTCGTGCGCCTACTCGGCCGCCGCCGTCGAGCGCCGGCCCTGCTCGCCCGGTGATCGCCTGCTCTCCCAGCCTTTGGTGAGCGCCTGCCTGCCTGCCTGACGGCCTGCCTGTCTGCCTGCCTGCCTGCCTGGCTGCCTGCCTGCCTGCCGGCCTGCCTGCCTGCCTGCCGGCCTGCCTGCCGGCCTGCCTGTCTGTCTGCCCGCCTGCCTGCCTGCCTGCCTGTCTGCCTGCCTGCCTGCCTGCCTGGCTGCCTGCCTGCCTGCCGGCCTGCCTGCCTGCCTGCCTGTCTGCCTGCCTGCCTGCCTGCCTGGCTGCCTGCCTGCCTGCCGGCCTGCCTGCCTGCCTGCCTGCCTGCCTGCCTGCTTGCCTGCCTGCCTGCCGCGCCTGCCCTGCCCGCGCTACTGCTGCTGCTACTGCTACTGGCAGGTGGCCAGATGCAGCTCCAGCGACGTTCACGCGAGCCTCTCACGCCCCAGCAGCTTAGTGAGTGGTATACTAGCTGGGGTTGTCGCAGTAGCCGTCGTAGCTGTCGCCCTGGAGCTGGTCAGTTGGGAGCGTCTGGCAGTGGCCAGCTGCAGCTGCAGGGGCGTCCACGTGAGACACTTACGCCCCGGCAGCTCCAGGAGTGGTATGCTCAGTGTAGCAGGTCTACGCGTACAGTTCGCTGCCCGTACGTCATTCGCACAGGTGCTAGGACTGGTCAGCCTTGTGGGACGCTTGGTCACACACAGTCCCGCTGCTTCGCCCGTCTGAGCGACGACTGGCGCACAGTGTTTGGCGACGAGGCTGAGCTCCCCACCTGGCTGGAGCTGCATGGACAGAGGGTAGATATCTTTGCGCTTGACTATGATGCTATTCTCACTGCCATGTATGCACTGCCTATTAGTGCTGACCGTGCCTGTTACCTGTGCGTACCGCCTGACCCTGGTATAGAGCCTGCTGCTCTCGGTGCTGGTGAGGCTGCTGCTCTAGGTGCTAGTGCGTCTCCTGCTCTAGGTGCTGGTGAGGCTGCTGCTCTCGGTGCTAGTACGTCTTCTGCTCTAGGTGCTGGTGAGGCCGTGGCTTCAGGTGCTGGTGAGTCTGCTCTCTCTGGTACTGCGCCCTCTGCGGTCTCGCACACCTTCACCCTTGACTCAGGAGCTTCCCGCTCCTTCTTTCGCGACTGCACCACACTCACGCCGCTCAGTCGGCCAGTTCCAGTCTCCCTGGCGGACCCCTCCGGGGGCCCAGTCCTTGCCCACTACTCCACGGTTCTACCGTGTCCGGCCGTCCCGTCTGGCTTCCTGTCAGGTCTTTACCTCCCCTCGTTCTCTACGAACTTGGTGGCGGGAGCTGACCTCCAGGATGGAGGGGTTCACCAGTTCACTCCTGCGAGTCAGCGAGTGACCCGCTGTACGTGTGCTCGGACGGGCCGACACCTGGCCACGTTTACCCGTGCGCCTGGCTCGAGTCTGTACACACTCACCACTGAGTCCCCTCAGGTAGCTGCGTCTGCGTCTGTGTCTGGTCAGCAGGCGGCCCCCTGCGAGTGTCGCGCTTTGTCGCACGACACTCTCCTGTGGCACCACCGCCTTGGTCACCCCTCCTTGCCTCGCCTGCGTAGCATGCACTCTCGCTCCCTGGTCTCTGGTCTTCCCAGGTCTCTGCCTGCCCTCCCTCCCTCGCCTGCGCCGCCCTGCATTCCTTGCGTCGAGGGGCGGCAGCGCGCCGCTCCTCACTCCTCCTCGTTTCCTCCCATAGAGGCTCCACTGCAGACGCTCCACCTGGACGTGTGGGGCCCAGCCCGCG